AGATGCTGTTTTGTTTATTTGCAGAGAAAAAGTGGATTGGTCATTGAAATCGCCCTCCATTCTTTGAGAAGTGACTGGATATAAGGTAGAGAGATCCATGGGTATGTTTCTGGGATAGTCCATAATTGCTCAGTAAAAAGACATTTGAGCACTCTGGAAAGAATAAGCCAGCACCAACTGAGCTATGGTTCCATAGACCTTGTTCTTAGAGCTCCTGAGATGAAAGTGTGTGAATCCTGTTATCTCTAGCTTCTGCCAGGCATCTGAGGCCTGCCCTGCTCTTGCTTGGGCCTGTCTGCAAGCCCTGTTCTTCAGGTTCTTCCTAGCCTCTCAGTGCCCAGGAGAGACCACCCACTGTCTCATGGCAATACCAAGTCTTCCAGTTTTCTCTCCATCTGACCCAGGAATTTCAGATGTCCAAGATGAGTTCTCTGTCATTTTTGACATTATCATATTTTAGGTGCTATTTAATTTTTTATATATCAATACACAAACTATGTTTTGTTGTAACTCCCTATTTGTAACATTCTGGAATGCATTCCTCATTTTATATCTTTGTCTCCTAATGACTTTTCTAACTTTGAAGTAGTTAGATCACAGCCCTCTTTATTAGTAAGTTTTAATGACTTTGTTTTCTACACATCATCTAACAAAGTATGTTGCAGATATTGCTCAACAATATATGTATTTAATTTGACTTAATACCTGAAGATGGGCTGAGCATGTCTTTGACACTTATATTAAGGCCAGGAATTTTGTTTTATCCATAGATGGGGCTTGAATGCTGTTGCTTTATAATGTTTGGATTAAGACATTGTAAATAAAGCCAAGTTTACCAGCTCAAACCACAGATTGATGTGTTGATCCTAATGTCATCATTCAGTCTTTAGTATGTCAGCTGAGAGGTTGATTTAGGATTGCTTTTTGTTCGTAGAACATAGAATCTCAGGATTTTTATTTCTAATCAGAAATAATATCTTTGTGTTATAAAAAGCATTAAAATATATGCTGTTGGGCCTGGGGTTGTAGCTCAGTTGTAGAGCGCTTGTCTAGCATGTGTGAGGCCCTGGGTTTGATCCCTAGCACCACATAAAACTAAGTAAACATAATAAAGGTACTGTGTCCACCTATAACTAAAAATATTTTTTAAAATATGTGGGGCTGGGATTGTGGCTCAGCAGTAGATCGCTTGTCTAGCACGTGTGAGGCCCTGGGTTCGATCCTCAGCACCACACAAAAATAAAATATATACAACAAAGATTTTGTGTCCAGTTACAACTAAAAAAAAATATTAAAAAAATATGTGCTATCTTTGTCAAACTAGGTGCCAGTTATCTTCTAATTTCCATTTCATCTGTGGTGGTACTGTGGCTAGAAAGGGGAACAAGTCTTCTTACATTAAAGTGTGGCCTATTAACAATGAAAGGTAGAGTACTGGCCTGTGGTCCTGTTAACTGTTTATAGTCTGTAGAGGAATATGATCTGCTCATCTATGGATTTCTTCTAACTGGTAAAGTCAGACTTTACTTATAGTCCATGGATACTAGCAGAAAGGCACATCTCTTTTACTTTTTAATGTTAAAGACCACAGAAGCTCTCTAAATTAGCAGGGGGATTTACACAGCAAACTAGTGAAAAATGTTAAAGCTTTCATTAGCTGTGTGGTTTTAGCTGGCACTTTGGGGCTTTTACACTCTGTTCTCTTCCTACCCTGACCCGTGGAAGCAAACAGAAACACAGTGAGCATTGGAACATTGGCTATAGAAATATTTGTGAGGTCTCTGCCTACCTGTGCTGGGGATCTGGAATAGAAGTTCTGAAAAAGATAAGGGAGTTTCATGGGCTTGTGGTGGCAGCAGAGCATTGGATGTGTGAATACAAATTCCACAAAGTTTCTCCCTTCTCTTAAAAATCTCTTTAAAAAAAAAACGAAGAAAGGGAAAAAAAAAAAAAAAAAGGGCCGAGGAGTGTGGGAGTTCTGAAGTTCTGTCTTTTTCAAGAGTTGGACACAGTGGCAGCTAGCTTTGTTTTTCTTTCAGATTCAGGGACTTCCCTATTTGGAGTGGTTAGCATTTATGCCCCTTTTTTCCTGCCCCTCAGCACATGTGGCACCACTGGGTGAGGAAAGACATGTGACTTTCTCTGTACATGATGCAAATCAGTGCTTTATCATCTGAGAGAACCTAGGGCAGAAACACAAGGGCACTTGAACTCTCTCACTTGGGTACAGAGCATTAACACCTTCAGCCCTCTGCTGGCAATGAGTCAAGGAATCCAAGTTAGCTTCTGAACCAAGTTTTTCCCTGGAGTAAACACAATGCATGCACTTGGCTAGGAGGTCAACTATTAAATACTGATTTCTTTTTCCCAGTAGTATTCAGGTATTTGTTTGTATTTAGACAGCATTTAAGTGAAAGCAATTTAGACATTTAATCAAGTCAAACTCTATTATAAAAAAATAGGAAGATCTCATTATAGATTCACAGATCCATGTATTTGTGTGCTCAAGGATAATAATAATACTGGGATATGTTTCAGAGAAAAGAGATGAGTGAAAATAAGGAAAAAAAATTAATGGATTCGAGCCCAAGTAAATGAAACTCTATTATTTAATTATAGTATCTGACTGTGAATATAAATGGGAGATGAGCAAGAATTTTTTCCTCCAGTTTGGATCATAGATTTCATGACTAAAAGGGAAAGTCTGTCACTTGAGCTATACTCTAGAGGTCTGATCCTTTGTAAAATGAATCAGGGAATATAGAAAATATTTTGGGAATTGAGGACAATCTCTTTTGCACACACTCAAGTATTTTTTAACATTTAAAGTGAGTTAAACTGCAAAATATGGATAAATGCCTGTGTCCATCAAATTTACAACTCTGTGGTAACCTGGGTAGAGTGAGGAGAAAACTCATTGATACACAGAAGAAACAGACACACTATCTGAAAATTTCATGTGGAAACCTCTTGCAGGCTAGGGTCTGAAATATCGATTGGGCCATTTATTTGTTATCTATTGCTACTTTTGGCAAGCGGGTAAGTTTAAACCCCAGTGTCCTGGTTAAATTCCAATGTAGATGAGTGATGATATTCCATCTGCCATGTTCTTATTTTGCCTTCCTTAAGGAAATGAAGCATAACTGAATTCCAAGCAGACTGTTGACATACTTTAGATAAAAAGTTAATATTTTTATCTTTTGTGATGCAGTTCAGTGTCATCAGACGTTGGTTCTAGCTCAGCTCTGTCACTGATTCACCTGTGACCTTGTGAAAGTTACCTTCATCTCTCTGAAATTTATTTTCTGTGAAAGATGAACACTAGCTTAGGTAATTGTTAAACCTACTTGCAATTTTAACAGGCTGTGAATTGTTGATGGTCCATGCCACGATAAATAAAATTAATGGAAAATTTTGTCTAGGACTTCAAAGACTTTTCAATTTCTATTCACTTTAATGAATTAGAAAAACATTATCCTAGACATTAAGAGTTGTCTATTACAGAATAGTATAAGTCAAACTAACATTATCCTTGGTGTTTCAAATCAAAGTCAGAATTTTTTTTTCCCATTGACTTAATCCCAAATCACTTCTCACTTTCATTTTTTTTAGGGCGTGTGGATACATGTGTATTTCTACATGGGGGAGACCTAAGATAGTATTTCACATAGCTGTGTTTTTTGTGATATTTAAACTCCTCATTGATCAATCTCACCAATTTTCAGAAATACTCAATAGGGCATGATACCTTGATTCACATACTTCACTTATATTTGTAAATAATCACAGTAGCAGACTATAAGTTGTGCATATGTAATATCACATACTTACAGTAACCACTGAAAAGATGATACAAAGAGATACTAAAAATACTACAAGTAAGCTGAAATTGAGTTATAAAAAATGTTAAAAGTAAGAAAAAGAAAGCAGAAATAGAAAATGGGGGGGGGACAGAGAAAACAAAAGCATAAAATTGCAGACTTCAGCCCTAATATATTAATAAACATATTAAATGAAAATGGTCCATATGTAACAATTAAAAGACATTGTGAGAGTGTATTACAAAACAGGTCTCAACTATGTCGCTTATACAAAACTCTGTTCAATGTAGTAGTGTGGGTAGGTTTGAAAGGGAAAGAATGGAAAAGAAGGTCTATAAAAAGATTATAAAGAAAAATCAAGAGTTGCTATATTAAGAGTCATCTTGAAAGCAAATTAAGTGCTAGGGACAGAGGATATAGCACCTAAGAGTTATACCACCAAAAAGTAGCTATCCTGAAAATCTGTGTGTACTAAATAAGTGAGCTGCATAATCTATGAAACAAAAACTGAAAAAAAAAAAGAAAAGAAAAAGACCAAGATTCACCATTGTAGATGATGATCTACATCCTTTCAGCCTCACTCCTGTCCTGACACATGGTGTAGCCAGATACGTCTTGCTTTTCCTAGTCATACTTAACAAGCTCTCAGCATAGGTCTATTATACTTGCTTTTTCCTTTGCCTGCAAAGGATGTCCCTCGCTTGGTCATTCATTTCATTCGGGTCTCTGCTCAAATGTCATCTTATCAAAGAAGTTTTTCTTGAAAAAACCGTCCCAGTCATAATCTGTTCCCTTCCTTGATTTTTTTTTTCCTTCTCTCATCAGAAATAAATCTGATGCTTTAAATATTCTGTATCTTGGGTAGGGACTTTATCATTCCCCGTTACGCTTTGCCACTTCGATAAGTTCTTCTGTGTATTTTATTTAAAAAAAATTAAACCAAACAATCTAATTTACTTTATTTATTTATTTATTGCTTCTGCTAATCACTCTGTCTCTGTTTAGATGATCTAAGGATTCTTAAAGGGTTTTGGAGACATCGATGAACTATATTTTGTCGTGCTTGGTTTATTACAACCCTCTGGTATTTCCCCAAACAGATAAGATGTCAAAGACTTAAGCCCATCTTTGCATACCATTAATCTGCCTCTAAATGACTTGGCTCTAATTCTCTTCTAGGCCTTTTAACCAGTTTGTGGTACAAAGATACACGTCAGGAGGACCCTTAGGAGTCGTGGACAAGCCTCCCTGCATGTGGCAGGTATGTTTCTTGGGTATGTGTCTAAGAAATGTAACTTAATTTCTTCTTTTATAGCTGAACTGAAATTTCATTCGGATCCTCTGTTTAACCCTGTGTTAGCAATCTGATGCTGCATGTAGGTTCTAGATGAGTTTATGAAATGCTCAATCCTTGAGCAAATCCCAGCTGCTCAGCTGTCATTTCCATTAGTTGTGTCCATCTTCCCAACCCTTGTGAGTAGCTGTGGGCCCCTGCTGAGGCACACCTTGATCTATCTTCAAGGATTTCTGTTCTCCTTCTTTTAGCATCTGTCAGGATCCCCTAGGTACCAAGAGGGCATGTTGTTGTTCCTGTTGCGCCAAAAGAAACTCTCTGGGATACTATAAACCTCTTTGTCCTTGCTTTGTTACTCTGAAGCACATGGTTCTTGTTCATGGCTTCTGTGCTGTCAGCCATGACACAGGGCCTTTTAAAAATCTGCTCAGGCCCATCTGCCTGAACACACGACCCAGCCCTTTCTAAGGTCCAGCCTTCATGCTGGAAAGGAGTCTTTTCTCCCCTGTTTTTATTCCCCCCCTTTATTGATATATTTGGAGTTTGTTTCTCTTTGTATCAGTACTTAAAACAAGTACAACTTGGAAATCAAACACAATATATTTTTTAATCTCCAGCTTTTTTTTTTTGTTTTGTTGTTTAATATGTTGAAGAATGGCAGATATCTCCTTGCCTTTGGGTGAAATGTAAGTCTCAGGCAGGATCTGTACTTGAGGTTCACTCTTAGCCTAAAAGACAATCCTCTGGGCATCTGTCACAAAAAATAATCTCCAGTTACAAAGAGACATAGCTTCAAATTTAATATCCAGTTGTCTTGCCTCCCCAGTCTGGGCCCCATTTTTAGGTTCATCTATTGCAATGGGAGAAGGTCCGTCATTTTCTTTGTCTTCCATTGACTCCCCCACTTCCTAGTTGCTATTGTTGAAACCTTGGAGTTGGAACATGGGGAAGAGGGGAAAAAAACGCAGCTCAGGGATCCTATTTGCATCAGTGCTGTGTGTAGCTGGCTCTTTGCTTTCTGGGCTTGGCAGATATTTAAATCTGACTTCTACTTGGCCCCTGATGGGGGACTTTGGTGGCTCCCCTGTTTGGGCCATCTGGCTTCAGCTCACCTCACTTGGGCAGGGCTTTTCCTTCAGCTGTTGGTTCCCTACTCAGCTGTTGGTTTTTAGACAGTCCATTCTCCAGGGACCTCACTGTTGTCTCTCAGATGCTTCCAGGTGGTCTTCTTAGATGTCATTCTGGCTGCCTTCATGTGGCCCCCACATGCTCTATGGAAATGTGAATCTTATGAACTCTACGTGCAGGTACTTCTCAGATTCCAGAGCTTCTCCTTGCCCAACCTCTTGTCCTCCAGATTTCTAAGGTGGAAACTAGTCTGAAGACCACTGGGTCTCCCAAACTCTAGAGAATACATCTAGACCTTCCAAATTATACCTCTGAAGCCTCTCCAAAGACTTAGGGAAAAAGTAGTCCCTTCCATCTCTCTTGCTTGGCACAAGGTGAACCCTGCCAGAGGGCATCAGCTGTATTCAAGAACTCCTCTGGAAAGCTTCTCCTCATCTCTTTTTATCCTTGACATCATGATGTTAAGTTTTAGAGCCATTCAATTAATTCTCAATTTCTTTTAAAATGGGTGTTTTGTTCTTTACTTTGGAATTCATATCTGTTTGGTGAAGGTCCCTCAGTCGAATTTTCCAACCTAACATCTGATCACTCTACCCATCATAGGTTGGGGCAGAGGAGTGGAGAGTGACAGCCAATACGGTTGTGACCACCCCAACCCCATGCTGATCCTGGATCCCACTAATGTCTGGACAAACTTAATTTTTTTTTTTTTTTTACTTAGAGGGTCTATGTCTGCTCTTAACTTGGTTCACACATGGGAAGATCTTTTCTGAGCCAGTTTTCTGTACATGGAAATCATCCCAAGTTCCCAGAGGGCACAATAATCAACCCTCCCCTTTGCTCCATGCTTCCTTCTCTGCCAGTAGTGTTCTATTGCTGTGAGGACAGACTGTAACTACTCAGCTGACTGTTGGGGAAAGAAGCAAGACCTAAGGAAATGTGGCAAATACTTCCAATATCATGTTCCATGTGGTGATAAAATATTGCTTACTCTTTTCGAGCACCTACCATGAGACTTTTTAATCTTTTTAATATCACTGACCATTTTAGATTAACAATTTAGCATTTGAGGATACCAGATATATTAGTTTTTTAGGACTACCATAATAAAGTACCACAAATGGGGTGACTGAAACAACAGGAACTTATTGTCTCACAATTACAGAGGTTAGAACTCTGAAATAAGTATATCTACAAGTTTGGTTCATTCTACAGTCTGTGAGGGAAGGATCTGTACTTCCTTTTTTTTTTTTTTTTGGCTTGGAGATGACCATTTTCTCCTTATGTCTGTTTTAAAAAAATTTTTTTGTATATGGACACAATAACTTTATTTATTCATTTTTATGTAGTGCTGAGGATCCTTAGTAGTTAATTGCCTCAGAAATATTGTTATAGTGACATGTGTTTCACATGTGCCAGACAAGCATTCTACCATTGAGCCACAAAGCCAGCCCCTTGCTATGTCTCTTGACATCATTTCTTCTTATGTATGGGCTATGATTTGAATGAATATTGCCCCCAAAGTCTGTGTTAAAAGTCTTGATATCCAGGGGACACCGTTGAGAGGTGATAGAATCTTTGGAAGATGGGGACTTGTGGGAAGTCACTAAGGGCATGTCTCCAAAAGGGATTGTGGCACCCTGACAGTCCTTTCTTTTTTATTTCTTGACTCATGATGTGAGCAGTTTGCTCCACTGTATGCTTTTTCCACAATGTTCTACCCTTGACAGACGCCCAAAACAGTGTGATCTTGGACTGGAACTTCCAAAACCATGTGCCAAAATAAACTTTTTCTCTTTATTAGTGAATTGCCTCAGATATTTTGTTATAGCGACAAAAAGCTGACTAATGCACCATGTCTACCACTATGTCCAAATTCCCTGTTTTATAAGGACACCAGTTATATTAGATTAGAGTTCATACGAATGACCTCACTTTAACTAATTATATTTACTATGACCCTCGTTCCAAATTAGGATACATTTTGAGCTACTGGTATTAGATCTTCAACCTCTGAATTTTGGATATTGTTGAGGGGGACAATTCAATTCATAATACTGGGGCCCAGAGAGGCTCAGTTACTTCATGACTGCATAGACTTTGAAGTGTCAGTGCAGAGATTCTGTGCATAACTCTTTGACTTTAAAACTTGCATTGTATTCATGATACTATACTTCACCGTAGGCAACTGTACAGGCAGATAGACTTATGCACCAAGGAGGATGCTGTCTGTCCCATAAACAGCCACAAAGGCTGGGTGTGGCATAATCCCGCCCAGGAAAGGAGCTCTCACTTAGGTCATATGATGGATAGCCTCATGTCTAAAAACAAACAAACAAAACAAACAAACAAACAAACAAACAAACAAAAAAACCAAACAAACAAGTCCTCCATTGTACCAGTGGCTAGAGAATGAATTTATGCTTGAACTCAAGATACAGATCATGCAGGATCCCAGTGGTTCAGCTACTATAGTGGTACAGCTTGAATGTGGTGATGTGATGGTATTATTCCTTTGGCCTGTGGTTTGCATTTTTGGTGCTCTTGACCTATATTCATATCTAAATATGCTGTGTGTGTGGTCTCTCTCACATAGGGCATATTTAAACAATGTGTAATAAAACAACATATCTAAATCATGCAAAAGAAAAGGAATAAACAGTTTGCAACGAAGTTCCTGCAGGCATTTTCTGGATAATGATAATGATAGCCTCACTAGAAAAGAGTAAAATATGTTCACTTCAGTGGGGATTATATTTAGGAGAATTATCAGATTGTTGTGAATATTTTCCATTTAAAAACAACTCTTAGTTCATCCTAGGTGGGAGATAGGAATTACAACAGTGATTTGGAAACATGGCTTTATGCATATGAACATAATTTGAGTCTTGTAATATTTGTCACTGTTTTAATTCCAGATGGTAAAAAAATTTTATTATTCCTTTCAGTTAAGGCCTGAAGTATATGCCTCAGAAATGTCCATTATAAGATTTTTCTTGCCAAAACTCTAATGGATGCTCACTTACTGAGAAATGTGTGTATTTTAGTGAAGCAGCACTAAGGATATTTAGCTAATTGTGTACAGGGATCTAAACATGATTTCAAGCAAGGGAGACTGTTGGACATGTAAATAAGTCTGGCACAGGTGTGCGGGTTTTTAGAGAATTGGTTAGAAGATCTAGTAAAAATTAGAGTAGGTCTCAAAGAATTGTTTTATAATAAATTTTTCCAATTATAAAATGAATACAGTCATAAATATTTTTAAATAAGGGTTAAAATAGCTTTTTTGTATACACTCATGTGCTGTATAAGGACATTTTGGTCAACGAAAGACTGCATATATGGCAGTAGTCCTATAATATTATAAAGTAGCAGAAATATTTCTGTCACCTAATGAGATTGTAGTCATCCTAATGTCAAAGCACAATGCATTACTTCCATGGTGGAGGTGATGTTTGTGTAAACGAACCCACTGCACTATTAACTGTGTAAAAGTGTACAGCACGTGCAGTTAGATACAGCATATCATACTTGATGATAAGAGACTATGTTACTAGTTTATGTACTTACCGTACTATTCTTTTAATCATTATTTTAGAGTGTACTCTTTCTACTTAAAATAAAAACTATTATGACTTGTTATATGGGCTGACGCCTCATAGATATATGTTTACCATATCGAGACCCCATCGAGTGATTGACTTACACTATCTAGATTTGTGTAAGCATACTCTATGATGTTCACACATGGGCAAAATCATCTGATGATCAGAACATATTCCTATCGTTAAGCAGTGTGACTGCATTTGCTTCTCTTCCTTCTTCATTCATACCTACAA